AACGGGAAAGAGGAGGGGAGGGGGAGAGTTACTAAATTTAGCTCAGCACATACTCACGCAGACATGGTTTCATCTCACTCATTTCGGCATGCAAGGTGCGCACCAGCTTGGGTGGTGTGCTTTCATTTCCTGATAGGGTTGCCGGTATTTGCGCCTGCGTTGGGGCGTCCTACACGGCTTGATGCTTGGAATCGCGCCCTTGTCACCTTCATCCTGCTTACGGCATCTGCGTGTAAATCCAAATAATCATTGAGTTTGTTCTCAAACGCGTAAATAAAATCATTCGGTGACGGATCTCCTCCATAGGACGCAAAACACCACAAAACTACAGCACCCGGGCGCCAACCTGGGCCTGAGAAAAACGTTCAACTTCGCTCGATTTACGACGTACTTGGTATTTCATTTCTGTCTGGAGGTGCGCCTTGAGCCCTTCCCCCTTAGAGAGGGAAACGGGGAGCCAGCAAGAATCTCCCCCAGCGCATGATGTTTAAATCCTTTTTCACTTTATACATGACGGGAGATGCAAACGGAGCAATTCGGGTGCCCGTGTTCTCTATTATTGCGTATTCGTTTTTTTTTTGCTATACGCGTCGCTACGCTTTCGCTTCACTTATCTATCCACCACTCTACTATATTTCAAATCGTTTGCTCATCTATCATCTTTGCGAACAGGCATGTCAGCAGGGTACGGGCCAGGCGCCGGCGCGGGTGGCCCCGCTTGCCCCACCTGGCAGGACCACCAGGCAGCCCCTCCTGGCCTATTGCTCAGCTGTTTTTGCTTGCGTTTGGGTGCATTTGGTCGTTGTGGCTGAGCATCTGTGCCCATTATTTCCCGAAAATGTATGGAATGAGCCCCACTAGCTCCAATATGATATCCTGTGCGCGCATACGCAGGGTGCTGCTCCTGTACTTGATTCCACACCACATGGGGCCCCAGGCTGCGCCCCCTGCCGTTGGCTGTGGTATATTTGCAAAAGGGGCATGTGCGAAGCGCATTTGCACGCGAATAAACAATAATAGTAATTTATTCACTTTCCCTAGCCGCTGCGCAGCTACTTTACCCTCAGGGGCAACAGTTGAGCAGCCAACATAGATTATAAACTAGTTCTGTTGATTAAATAAGATCGCCTTTTCTCTATTCTAATATGGTTTATAGTCACCTTGGGTTTAATGTCTGTGAAGGGAACAACAGATTCACAAAGAGTTGATATGCATAAGAAATACTATAGTTCAGTTCAGTGTTTTTAGGAAAGTCATCTCAAATATGTGTTCATTAGCTTTCTGTTTCTCTATATTCACGATGACAACAGGGGGATGTCATTTCAAGTTGAATCTAAATTTATTCTAGCACTGGAGGGAGATCTGCAGGCAAGACAAAAACAACAGTCTTTATTCTCAATTGTTTGTTGTTTCTTGAAGCATGCTACGGCCACGAGAATTCTCTTTTCCAAAGCAATAGGAATACGCTCGAATTTGATCTAGAGACGTCTGCTGTTTCTGACCCGCTGCGCCTGACAGATCAGCTCCAATGTTATGCGCTTGATACACGAGAGACTGCGACGCAGCTCTGGATACAGGAGCCGAGGCTACCGCGTGATAAGCATTGGGGCGGTATGTGTTCGACCGAATGCTTGCTATGTCCCCTTCTGGAGTTGGTGTCGTAACACCCTTCCCTTTGAGACAAGACTTGAGCTGCGGCGGACGTGCTACCGAGGATATTTTATGGGTTGAAACTGAGGGGGAACTGTTGTCATCCGTGCCAGCACCAAGGGTGGGTTTCACAGCACTTGGTGCTGGTCTGGCATTCCCACTGCTGCGCTCAGTCCGCTCCTGCTCCCGTTGCTTCTCTAAGGCCACTAGCTTTTCCTCAAGCTCGCTCTGCTCAGCCTGCTGTTGTTTACGCTGCTGTTTGAGCTGCAATTGTAGGTTGCTTAGCTTGGTACGCATAGCATGCTCCTCCTCAGCCCAAGCGAGGGACTCCCGCTGGAGCCGTGTTTCCAAGTCTTCACGCGAGGCGAGAAGCTCTTCCTTGTCCTTGATCTCACGCACTAGGTAGTGCATGCTTTCGTATTCATCAAGGGTCTTAATGTAGGCCGCCTCAACCTTATCTTTTTCACTAAGCGTCCGTTCACAAACAGCGCTGAGCTCTTTAGCTTCTGCCTCAACTGATTCAAGCCGTTTGAGAAGATCCTTTTTCTCCTTTTCTATGATTTCCAAGTGCTTACGTGAGGCTTGCTTCAGTTTTTTTCGCTCTTCGAGAACCGCATTGATGTCATCTTGAATCAGGCCCACTTCAGTCTCTGCTTCCAGAACGCGATCCTTCCACTGTGTCAGGAGGGCCTCAGACATGGGTAAATATATAGTTTTAGATCTTTGTTTCTGTTTTCAGCACCTATAAAAGCTGTAATGAATACAAGCACACACCTTGTATGTGAAAGAATTGATAATAAAAAGAGCTATTTACAACTGATAAAAAAACATAAACTTGTGTGAAACTTTTATGTATTAGAACTTTGCAGCACAACTGTTCCGATAACTCGTGTTCGTGGAGGGATGAAACCAAAGGGTGATTCTTCAATTAATATAGATGTTTGGGGTTCCAATGCACTAAAGAAAGTGGTAACATGCAGCCAGCTTATTCCCCCACAAAGAAGATCGGTAATACATTTACAATGGTTGACATGGCAAGTTTCAGTCTTGCGCTCTAGATGAGGGTTTCTCGTCACCAATGTGCATAATCCTTTAATGCTAATACGACATAATCTGGAAAAGCGTATTTGCACAAATATTTACATATAAATATTTGACGTAATATGGCCTGATGAATCACTTCAGCTTCCTGTTCGGCCAAGAAGAAAAGAAATAGTGTAGTTGAACCATTACTAATGTCGAATGAGTAGTCTTTTTTTGCCAAGCAAATCCGATCACGTAGGCACCTCAACAAAATATCACAACCAAATTATAACCGACTGAACCAAAGCAGTACACAGAGAGGGCGTAGATTTGCATGTCTGCAAGCATAGGTACTGATATACTCACCCAACGAGGGTTGAGATTTGGGCCATCACAGATCTGCCTTCATCGTGGATACCCCCCCTACGTGCAGTTGTCACAACGACGGCTCCGTGGTAAACTTACAAACTCACAATCCACCGGAAAATGAATAGCACAGCAACACGAACTCCCATATTATGAAGGAGCATTTTGTCTTTTTGAATCGGTTTCCATACCCTGGTGATGAGATGAATATCCCTTCATAGAAGTAGCGAATAAAGTGCACCCTTTTGCGTCTTACACTAAATTCGAAAAGAATATCTAAGCTAGGAATTTCAAAAGTAGGCGTCTGCAAGCTGGATTAAGCCTCTAGCAAATGCTCCGCCTAAATACTTTTGATTAAGAGCTGCACATTGTCCCTCGATTAGGTCTGAACTATGTGGAATGACTTACGCTCAGACAAAGTTATAATCACCTTTTCCTTGCACATCTTCTAGGCTGATACATGTGTAAGATCATATGAAGAAGGGCAAAGACAGAACGAACGATACAAAGATTAGATGAATCAAGTATGCAAAACAAATGGAGAATGTACTCCAGAACTTATGCCTATGACAACTTCTAAAAACAGTTTTATCTAATACCTTATTTACATTCAGTTTATTTTTCCACCTATTCTTCTTCAGCCATCCACCACCCCTCTAGTAGTTAGTAATATTTTTATGGTGGAGTCGAGTCATACATATACCAAGTATTTCGGCTGATAATAACCACTGGCGAATGGAGAATAGAATGCACAAATAAACTTACTGAAAGCCAAAATAGAACGAAATCTCTATGCATCGTTTTTTTTTAAAAGGAAACCAAATAGTGATGAAAGCCATGTTGCATCGGAAAATAATTGGGTGGACAAACACAGCTGATGTTGAGATGATGAAAACACAAGAAAGGGAAAACTGTAAAAGCTCAATAAAAAGGAAAATATTATCCTGTGAATGCACAGGCTAATATTAAGTTAAAATAAACCAAAAAAAAAATAGGAATAATTAGGAAAGTAAATAGTTTACCTCAATGTGGAGGAGTGAAGTGAAATTTAGAGGGGTTGTGTAATCAAAAGAAAAGTATCTAAGAATAAACGGTTATTTAAATAGCATGTGTGCATTCGCATCTTGGCTTTACCCACGGTATCGACCACTTAAAAAGCGCACGGATCTGCACCTCAGTCATCGGCTTCCCTGTAGATTTAGTAGTAGTAGGCTCATTATCATTTTTGGGAAGCTCTCCTGGCTCGTGTTCGACCATCCACATTAGTGTGGGGTTGATAGTAGCAGCCAACTGACGGTGACTTATAGCACGTAAGGTTGGATTACTTTGAGTTAGTATTGTAGCTATTTCCTTCGCTATCACCGCCAACGATATCATTTCCTCATGAGGTATGTCCTGGAGTAATATAGAAAAGCTTTGCGCTATACGCGGGGCTGCGCTTTTGGATATGCAAAGGCTTGTTTGTACCTCATTCGCCACACGCTTAAGTGCATGGCTCACCATCGTTACAATATAGGTAGAACATTGGAGCTGCCGCATAATGATTATTCCAAGAGCCGTGTCGCTCAGTTGCACATAAAGTGCGAGCTGAGCTGGATGCCATTTGGAAGTTACTGCACACTCCACACGAGGAAGGTAGCATCGTTGATCATCACTGCTTAGGTAGGAGCCCAATCCAGGTTCCGCTTCCAATAATATGGAGTCATAATTAAAAACAGAAAAACCTGCATCTATAGCGAAGTTCCCCCATCGACAATTGTAGGAACGTTCTACATATAGCTCATACTCAACTGCATACCGATCCTGTACAAGCTGCCTCAGACGCGTCGAACTGACACTTAGAAGCAAAGGGTATACAGGCAGCGAGGGTGGGATTGCCACAAATGCTTGGTACGCTGATATGAGTCTCCTCATTTCAGGCTGTACCGTCGGGTCCATAATGAGCTTAGCGTCTCCAGCCATTTCATTGTATATTTTCCATACTTCCTTTTTGAAAGCGTCCAAATCCATAATTTTTTTATTCTCAAGACCCTTCTCATCATTGTCGTAATGCATTTGGCGTTTTGTATTTGATATAATAAGGTGTTGTAATATCAAGAAGGCTCTTAAATGTGTTTAGCAGCCTGGTTTTTATTAGGTGCTCCTTTGGTCTAATATAGGCAAAAAAAAAAAAGGAATATATCAAAAGAGTAATAGATAGAGTGAAATGCGATATGCCGTTTAATATAGACATAACAACAGAAATAAGCATATTCTTACGACTAGTTTCATGTATGTCAAGCAGTGATACGTACTCCATTTTAAAATTCAATGTAGATAGCATGATGTGTCAATAAGCACAACCACTTTATTGTAAACATGCATCATTTCTTTTGTAACAAAAACACAGTGCCCAACTAGACTCTCTAGAGAGTAATTGTACATATAGCCAGAAATATTCTAGAACTCAAAGGGAGAGCAATAATTAAAGACGTTTTGCTCTTAATAACATAACTTTTTTGTTTGTCTATGGAAGCTATTGACTTCAAAATTTGTATACTGTTTGCAGTAGATTATAACGAGATACGCTTAGCAGGAATGAAAATGTCTCCAAATCATCAGAAAGTTTTATTTATTATCATTTTTGGTATCGCGTAAAAGCTACCTATAACTGTACAAATCACTCATGTGCCTATGACTTCATAGAACGCAATGCATTTTAACACATGCGGTAATTTTTGACACATTTCCTTGATACAAGGTCTGAAAGATTGAAACGTAAAGGCACTGAATTTATTTTGTGTAAAACGTAAGGTTTGATGTTTGAAAAGATAATATCATTTAAATTAGGTATTTAGATTTATTTTTTAAGCGGCAAAATATCCCTACTTAGTTCATATAGGACAATAAACGACCCCTTATCAGAAAAGTTCTGTTATCTGGACGAATACAGCGTTTTTGCTTTACGAACCTAATAGGTCGAAATTTTTATACTGTTGAATATTGATTGGGTTACAACTCATACAAGCGTTTGGACAATTCGATACGTGAGAAAAGGGCTGTTAAGATACAATACGTAATGATGACGAGGAAAATTAACCCAAAGAGTAAATATGCTAAAGATACACACTACCAAAGTGCAGAACAAAATCAAAGTACTTTCGTACCGTAATTTATTAAGTAACATGAATCAGAAATATTGATAACAACAAGATATTATCTTTCTTCCCTAAACTTTAATAAGAGATCTGTTTGTAAAGCAACTATTATTAATTTGACATTTCACTAAGCGATTGCGTTTACTATCTCAGGCCAAAATATAGCTGCATTTTTTTTTTGTAGATTGACACCATGAATGAATAGATAATTTTTTTTTGTGTGCAACTAAATTCCATTAAGGTAGTATCCTTAAACAGAATGCACAAAATCTAATAAGTCCGATATATTTTCGCTCAGTTAAGTAGTGTCACTGGAATTCTATGCCCCTAATGAGCATTTATAAGCTTGAAAGGCACTTAAAGTATAATTCGTGAGGCCATATTTGCTACAAGATTGTAATATTCCCATTGTCTTAGTATTCGTAAAGACTTTTAAATAGTAATATATATATATATATATATATATATAATGTTGCAGCCCTTCCGAGTAGCAAAATGGGTTACCATAAAACTTTATGTCAAACGAATTTATTTGGCGAAGACACGTTGTATTTGATGCAAAAGTGCCTTCCACGTGATTGAATACAACGTTGATCTCACAATCTCGAGCTGATTAGACATATGCTGCTAAAGAACACGCTACAATAGCGATAGAGGAATTATGATTACGTTAAATGCACTCCCTTCTTTTTTTTGTTTATCATTACCTTTCACAACTTTATTTTTATTATAGATCACTTACACACAATGAATCACAACAATACAGGCAAAGACTCACTGCGACAGATATACATTTATTTATTTTTGGGTGCCGCGCACATGACTCATGGACTGGGTAAGTGAAGGCACTTCTCGAGTCACCTAGCTTCATTAATATTCCTTAGTGCCACCCTGACTCTTAGAGCATGTTCTTCGGATCTGGTTCTAATAGGGCTAAATATAGGAAATATCCTGACACGGCCATAACATGATATCTACATCAATTAATTCATTAAGGGCCGGCCTCCAGAACTCTTTTCCCAGCATATTTTTCATTTTAAGGAGCTTAAATTTGGTGACATAGCTTTTATGTAAAGGGAAGGTGTCTTGGGTGGGGGCAAAAATCAAAGGCATCCAATTCTTTAGCACGCAGACGCAGCCTCAGACGTTTTGTGAGTAGGACAGCGACAGGCTGGGGTTGTTTCAGTTTACCACCGCGGTTTGCGAGGTTCAAGAAACAGAAAAATTCAAAGTCACCACCATTACTTTAGTATTTAATAGATACTATGGAATGGTGGGGGGCGTGGTTGTATCACTCTTTTCGTGCTGCCAAGCATTTTTATTTTATTCAGTAGTATATTTTTAGCATGGCGAAAGCACCTGAAAATTTACTTATTTGATGCCTGGGCCGGGGGTTTATAGTACTCTTGCCGCTCGGTGGTGGGCAGGCCGGTGGCGTTCCACCAGAACTGTTTCACAGTTTCTTATATTGATTGGCTCTGTCTTTACTTTTATAATAGGTGCCCGGCGCGTGCAGGAACTATAAAATTATCTGACAAAAAAAACGCTGAATGGCAAAAATGACTCCATCCGCCGTTGCCATACAATTCCTAATCCTTTCCCAAACCTGTTATCATATCAAGGATGCTGGCGCCAAAATGATCCTCAACTAAAGAAAAGAATAGCATTACACTCGGGGTAGCCATGCCCCTCAAAAGCATACCCCTCCCACCCCCAAGCGCTAGCAACCTTTGTAATCCCGCCGTCTTTAACTAATATTAAGTGAACTTTTTTTTTTCCTAGGCTAGCCGTTTGAAATTTCCGGTTCTCTGGATATATATAGCAGTCCACAAGGATGGATGATGGTGAACAGGTGAGGCTGACATTTTTTAAACTGTAACCTAAACTACTTTGGTGTTGTGGCTTAGAAGGCGTTACATTGTAAGTTTAGATGCACGACAAGTTCTGAGCTTACGTAAGATAAAATTGAAATTTTATTTTTATAAGAATTTGATATTATTTATATTTGAATTAAGATCCGTGAAAGGGATTGTTCGATTATTAAAAACCTACCTAAGCCGGCTTTCAGAGGTCAAATATAATGTGGGAAGTGCAATGAGCTGAGCTATGTGAGAAGACAGATTAACATATTTCCAGATTAGTTGAATTACCATTTAATTAAGATAGTATATATTTTTTGGACATCTTACCTAAGTCGAGTTTGTATGTGTGGCGGTAAAAAAGCTTTATTCTAAAAAAGGTTCATTTGAGAGTTGGGTATATAGTTTATTATATACCTAAAAGTTTTCCTTAGTGAGCCTTGGTGTTTTTGGAGTTTCACTTGAGACATATTTAGCCTTTTCCCCTAATCATAGATGGATTTCAGATTTTTTTTCTAAGGGTTCTTCTATAGGGCAGATCCCTCTCACTTATTTTTATTGAGATCCATATCACGGTTTCATTAATGATCCAAGTGTCAACAGCGACAATTCACTGTGGTAATTATCATAGAGTGCCATCTACTTATTCTACGTTTACAGGTGATGAATGTAATGCAATTGATTTTTAATTCAATTATATTAAGTAAACTCTTTACTTCAAGCAAGAATGGTGCTGACGCCTGTCGGGATTTCCTAGAGAATGTCCTGGATGGGTACACTTGTGTGAAAAAATAAATGAAGGGTTCTTTTTAATTTTTAGTGTTGTTATAATGTTAGTGTGGTGTCTTTTTTCCGTTGGTTTTGATTGGAAGCATAACGTGTAGGACGTGCAGAATCAACCAACATCGTGACTCAAATACTTTAAAAGATTATGCAACATGCGATTCTTATAATTTGGTTTGTTTTTGAATTTGTATACTAACCCCAATTTTGAAATGGGCGCTATAGATTCACGTAGCGATGAAGTTGTTCTAGAGCTAGTGTGCTGTCATAGGGCACGCCACTATATTTCGGCGTATCAGAAATTACTTAATTACCTTTAGATTCGATTATATTAACGATTGGTAATGTATGATTTTGGATCAAGTAAGCACAAGTCGTTCTTTTATAGGGGCGAACATTCATTAATCATGTTTGCATACGAGGATATAATGATGATTTAAATTTATTGCGCTGACAGCAAAAAGTAATGTTAAATTTGTTGTTATGGAGTGCTTGACGGCTCTCTAGTTTTTAGTTATGAAGACGCTACTTCTAAGCCTGTTGACGTTTGTGTGCTCTCAGAACGCTGTCCGATTTTTTAAATGTAATGCTTCAACATTCTATCAGTCTATGTGTATCCACTTTTTTTTTGGTGTTTTTCCCGGTATGAATGATTTTTTCAATTTGCAAAAGAATTGCTGTAATTCCTTAGCTTAAAAATATCTTGAATCTCAAAAAGAAGCCCAAGAATTGAAAGGTTTCTCTTTCCCTAACCAATATTTACTACTTCTTTGATGAGAATTGTTCCTCTTTGATATTCGATGGTTATAATTTTGAACACCACGACAGTCTAAATCACATTTTCTCGTTACTGTCATAATTTTAGAAATGTAGTGTGAGGGGCTATGTCGTTCGCTTAAACACTACTTCTTTCTTATTCGAGGTGGATGCTTATGACACTTTCTAAAAAAAAGAATTAATAATTTAATATGTGATTTTATATATCAGAGTACTTGAAGGGACGATGTAAATTCTACGTTCAAGGGGAAAAATGTACTTTGGAATGCTCATTAAAAGATGAATTAACTTTGACAGGGAAAAAGTTCACGACAAGAATAACTGTTTTGGCTCAGTGTAGCTGGTTTTTAATGTACATTTTGGATACATCGTTTTTTCCCCTTTTTTTATTTGACCTATCGGTCATATGTGGTAAAGATGTGTTTGGGCAATGCTTTTTTTAAAAAAATTATTCAAACCAAATGATACTTATTATTGATGCTATCATTTTAATTCTTGTTACATGTTTATTTTTCAAAATATAATCTTCATAGTACGCACGCATACGATCCAACATTTAGGATAAGAAAGCGACAATGAAACAGTTACTTTGCCCTCGAACAGCACGTCATGCTCGTCTATTCCGTCTTGTCTCAGAAATGACTTCAGCTCCTTCGAGTGACGGTGAGAAACTTGCTTGGGTCAACTCCCATGTAAAGCGGAATGAAGATAAAGAATTATCCAGAGAGGAAGAGGAACTACGGGAGCCACTAATTCCACTTGATGTTGGTGAAAACTCGATAACTACTAACAGTCAAGCTAGTCATGGAAACCTATTTCATTTTCGTGATTATCCGATGTTTCCCGGCGAATACGTCCCTTCGCAACACAACACCCTATCATCTTTACGTGAGAATTTAAAATTTGACTTGACAGCACAATCCTTGAAAGAAGCTTGGATGCGAGTTAGTGGAGGAATGTTCTTTAAATCTGTTGATGATTATTATTCTTCCGTTGACGGATTAGACGAGGAGCAACTTGGTGAAATCGTTTCTGCGCTTCTTCCGGATTTGAGTTTGTACGAGTCTCGGGCTCTAGTCACGCATATTCTTGAGACACTAACGAAGCCAACAGACTCACCCTCACGTCAATTAAGTCGTTCAATTACTGCTGATGCGGTTGGACTTGATAACGCACCTAACCATTATACCAATTTCCTCGAATGGATGGGCCGCATGACAGAAACACGTGCCTTTAGGACCGAGCATGCGCTCTTTGAATTTAGTAGAAGAAAATTCAATAAAAATGATGTACAAATCATGTTTGAGAACTACAACCTTATGAGCAAAGCCACTATTGAATCTGATAGTGCAGATAGCTACAGTCATTTTTATACAGTATTAAAGGACTTTTCACGAAAGGTTGCTGGTGAGGACACGCGCCATCAAATAGGAGTTCGTATTGATGATGAAGAAATTGATTTGAAAACTGGTATAGCTGTAGGTCATGGGCGAGCAGACGGCGAAAAATACATGTTCACAGCCTTGATTCGTGAAAATAGAGATCACAATGGGTGTGTAACATTGCTAGGTAAGCCTCTTTCAATGGTTTTTGATAACAAAGCTTGGTTGATGGAGATGGTTTTAATGCCCTTCGATGAAGCAAAACTAGACTATCGTGATTTCGATGTGAACATTGTCTCCGAGGGAAAGGCGATGCCTTCCTTAGCAAATGATATCGCAGCATTTGCGTGTCGGATGGCAGTTTCAAATGCCATTACGAAGCTTATCCCTTTGACACGCATTCCTATTAAAAAGGCAGGCCTACTTTCTGTTGACCGTCGAAGAGAACCTGGACAGTTTCCTGGTTATGTGGATGGTAAGAAAAACAAGCGAAAGTTCGCAAAGCGCTAACACTTGTCTTGATAGTTGTGTTCGATTCAGTGAACCTAATTTTTTTTTCTTCAAAATGTTCTACCGAAACATTACTGAGAGCGGGTGACTAATTGTGCATTTTTTCTATTGGGTTAACATTGTTGTTTGTACCTTCTTTAATCTGTATCAAGATGAAATAGACTTAATCAGCGATGATTGTATTTCTTTTTTTAGCAGCCTTAATTTGGGGGGTTACAAATCCATTCCTGAAGCGGTACAGCGCAGGCATGAAGCAAGGCGGCACATTAAAAGAGGATCTAAATCATTTAGTGCGGCGTCCGGGGTATCTTTGTGTCCAACTAATAAACTTAAGTGGGTCATTGGTCTTTTTTTATGCTCTTCGAGAGGTTGAAGTTTCTATCGGATCTGTTGTCGCCAATTCGTTGACTTTTGTGATTACCCTTTTGACAAGCAGTTTCATTCTTTGTGAGGGAGCTTTGCGAATCCAAACTGTCATCGGCTGCTCTCTAGTCCTGATTGGCACGGCATTGTGTACAGTTTTTCGCACTGGAGGATAATTTGATTCACAACTGATGCTTTGTGTTATGATCTTTGCCTCGTTTTTTTCTGTTGCTTGTGAAACTAAACAGGTCTGATACCACTGCTCTACTTTATCTTTTTAACTCTTCTTCGCATTTTGCTATTGGAGGATCCCGACGTATGATAAAAATAGTTTCTCCCAAGAGCTGGTCTCAACTCAACCATGTAGAGCATTCTCCACTTATGATGAAGAAACTTGTACAGGCAGCTTGCGGTGGCCTGAGATGGATCGAAGCCAAGAACATGGCTCAATATATTGCGAAACGCGCGATATCTGAGGGGTTTCATTCAACAAAGAAACAACAAAAAGCTTTAGGTGTTTTCCCCAAGAAGTCATCCGTTGAGTGCAACAAGCGGAAGGTGCAACATGATGCTCTGACACTCGCCCCAGCGAATCAGCTTATTATGTCTTGTGCAAAAAAGCAGCGTCTGATATTGTACGACGTTTTGGACTGCACATTTGGGTCGGGTTACCACACAGGTGCTGTCTTAGAAAATGGGAGCCCATATACCCGTGTTATAGCGTTGGATTGTGATGTAGCAGCTAGGGCCAATGCACGAGAAATAGTTAGTGAGTTTGGTGACGATCGTTTTTGCTTTTACTGCAATCGCATGTCAGAGTCATTGAGCATGTTTGGGGAGCGCTCATTCGACACAGTAATTATTGATTCTGGACCCTCAACAATACAACTAGCGGATCCAGGGAGGGGTTTTTTACTTGACAGTGATCACTGCCACGATTTCGATCTTCGTTATGCCATTAGTAGTGGTCTAAATGCTTTACAGTATCTGAATACTGTGCCTCAAAGCACCTTATCCAATGCTCTTAAATCCTACGGCTTACTTTCACCTGAGCAATCTATGAAAATGGCTCGTGCAGTGCGCACTGGAAGACCATTTCAAAACTCTAGCCACCTCTTAGACGTTGTCACAACGGCAGGGTTCGGACTCCCAGAGGATGGATGGACGTTGCAGGGTAGCTGGAAAAAAACATCCATGTCATGGAAGTTTTTGACTTCACTTCGATGCATTATCAATAACGAGATGACTGAGCTGACAGAAGCAGTCAAAAATGCTTTTCTCATGCTACGAAACAATGGTCGCTTGGTCGTCATCTCGCGCCTACGTTGGGAGGAAGAGCTTATCAGCAAACTCATCCAATCTCATCCTCACGCGATTTTGTCTTATAAAGAGGATATTGATTTAGACGAAGTGCAGCGATATGGACACACACGCCACACAAAGATGTGGGTGGCCTCACGTACCGACAAGTCGGCATACGTTTTAAAGAACGCAGTTTCGCTCACCGCGGAGGATATCCGGAAAAGTTCGGTCCAATGGATGGCTGGCACGTTCGCCGGTCAAACACACGGGTTTCCCGCACATAACTTTACTTTTGAACACATGGATGCGAAAGAGCGAAGGGTGAAGAGACGCAACGAAAGACCGCCCCCTTTTGATGACGATAGCGACCGCTGAAGGGCCTTTTCGCTTGCCGTTTTTCATCCCATATTTTGTTATCGGACACATTACTGAACAAAATGAGATGAATTTGATTTCTCCTTTTGAATGAATTTTACGTTTGTCCTATACATCCATATATATATATCTATATGGAATGAATTGTATGGAGGTAACTTTTTTTTGGTATTCTTTCGTGTTATTGTTTCTGATAATAACAAATGCTCCTTTTTTTGTGTGTCATCTTTTTCCTGCCCCGATCTTTTTATCGTGAAAATTGTTTGGTCATCGGTTTTAGTATCTCTTCGTTTTAAGGATCATTATTTAGCTATTTTCTACCCTTTACTCCAACTATAGCTAATTTTAGCAATCACAAGGATTTCATCGGAAGTCTGATAATTATGATGAAGGCGTTTTTAGCAAAAAAAACGTAATGTGAGTTCATCCATCAATGCTAAATAAAGTTATAGCTATGTGGTATTAATGCTCATATGATCCATTTGTCTGGGATTATATCTCAGGTTTCTCGCAATGTTGGATCGGTTCAATTGCTGCAGATCTGTGATGCATCACTGAAAAGTACACTTTTGATTACCACAAACATTATAAAAAAAGCACGGTTGATTTGTGCTTTCTTCATTTCGATATCTCGTTCTGAGTTTTGTATGACTATTGTTTGAGCTACATGAAGGGGAGACAATTGTTTCAACAAGGTGAACTCGCAGCGGCGCGATTGTTGATCTGAGGCTCAAAGAGTTTGATAAGAGCTTGACAAGGATAGAACTGGATGTCTTCCTTAGGGATTGCATATGATGATTTGTGTGTCTTTTATGGACCTGCTTATTGCAAGGCGATGGGAGCGCGGGTGAGAGGAGACGAGAAGGAAGTATTGTACATCGCTCGAAGGGTTTTGACCAAAATCATAAATTATGCATGTGCATGTATATCTACTTTTTTATCTTTATCCATTTATTTCTCAAGTAGTACCAACAAAAAAGGGTTTAGTAAAAGCCAAGAAAAGTTATAATATTCTTAAGCTGGAAAGATGATGAACCAGCAGCAGCAGCCTGTTATCGTGATCAACCAAAAGGTTGAGCGTGAATCTGGTCGAAAAGCACAAATGAACAATATCGAGGCCGCCAAAACTGTTGCTAGTCTTATCAGCAGTACGCTCGGCCCCTGTGGAATGCTCAAGATGATTCTAGATCCTATGGGTGGCACTGTGCTTACGAACGACGGTAACTGTATTTTGCGCGAGATAGACGTAGTGCATCCAGCGGCGAAGCACATGCTTGAGTTGGCCCGTTCTCAAGACGAGGAGGTCGGCGATGGCACTACCACAGTCATCATCCTCACTGGGGAGATCCTCAGCCTGGCTCAGCCCCTGCTGGAACGCAATATTCACCCGCTTAAAATTGTCAAGGGTCTCACTCTGGCGCTAACTGACGCCTTGGCAGCTGTTGAGAGGATTGCTGCTACGATCGATCCGACCGATAAGAAGAAGCTGGAGGAGGTTGTGTGCGCGTGCTTGGGTACAAAATTCAACTCTCGTGAGGAAGTTTTAATGTGCCGTCTGGCAGTTGAGGCGACGCTTCGAGTGGTACGCGAGGACAAGATCACCGGCGTAAAGGACATCGATATAAAACGTTATGCAAAGATTGAGAAGATTCCAGGTGGATCTGTGCAAGATAGTGAGGTTTTGGATGGTGTCATGTTCAATAAGGATCACATCCACTCGAAAATGAGGCGCCGCATTGAGAACCCTCGGTTGATTCTTTTGGATTGCCCGCTGGAATACAAAAAGCCGGAGACGACGATTAATGTCGAGATCACTAAGGACACAGATTGGGAGGCTCTGCTCAAGCAAGAGGAGGACTATGTACGCACGATCTGCAATGTAATTATTTCTTTCAAGCCCGATGTGGTGATCACGGAGAAGGGAGCCTCCGACCTGGCGGCGCATTTCTTGTATAAGGCAGGGATTACATGTATTCGTCGTCTACGTAAGACAGACAACAACCGTGTCGCGAGGGCCACCGGCGCCATCATTGTTAGCCGTGTTGAGGAGTTAAAAAATGAGCACATCGGTAAGGCGGGGTTGTTTGAGATTAAAAAGATCGGCGATGAGTACTTCACCTTTATCACAGGCTGCCCCACGGGCACGGCGTGCAGCATCGTACTTCGTGGCGCCAGCAAGGACACCCTCAACGAAATTGAGAGGAACATACACGACGGCATGTGTGTAGCGCGAAACATCATCCTTGAGCCGCGCATCGTATACGGGGCTGCTTCCTGCGAGATGCAAGTCTCCGCACAGATGATGGCGAAGTCCAAGACGATTGGTGGGGTGGAGCAGGCAGCGTACCAGGCGGTGGCGATGGCGCTCGAGGTGGTGCCGCGCATTCTGGCCAGCAACTGCGGGGCGAATGTCATTCGCACGGTTACGGACCTTCGTGCGCGGCATGTGAACCCAGATGCTTGGTACTGGGGGGTTGACGGCGTTACCGGGAAGATTGTGGATGTGCGAACTATTAAAGTGATTGAACCAGCGGCAGTTAAAGTGCAGGCCCTGAAAACTTCAATTGAGGCCGCCGCCATGATTTTGCGTGTAGATGATGTCGTATCGGGGACAAAACTTCGTCAAGAACGTGGTGCAGAGGCCCCTGCAGCGAAGGAACAACCTGATGACGACCCGGAATCGGCTGCTGCAGTGGCGGCCGAGTAAGATATGCAATCTTTTACTTTTCTTGAATGTTGCCATCCTTACTAATCCAGATCGCATTCTACGTGGTAATGAGTCTTTACTCTGGATAACATTTGAGGGAAGGAAAGATGATAAACCGCATGGAAAAATAAAAACAGAAAGACAACTGGGTTGATATAAAGGATGGCTGTGATTGCATTCTAATTGTTATTTAACGAGTTATTAAATTGGGTGCTCGGCAAATGCACAAGTGGTTGGTAAAAGGGGAGTAGAATGAATGAAAGAAGGAAGAAAATAGAAGCAATTCAGGAAGTATTATCGGCATCCAATAAGTTAAAGGGAATGAATTAAAGACAAATAATAATAGTCGAACTGGTGGAGTAATCACAATGGATATATAAAACATTATTATTACTATTATTATTATATATATTAAAATATAATTATATTAATCCTGAAGTTATGTGTACTTTGAGTTTTCGCTCTTAATATTGATTGTTCCCTTTGAAAATAACTCCTTTGCTTTTATCACTTTTTTGAATATTCATTTCGATCAGCGCTAAGCACAGAACCTGTTTCAGGAAAGCTATCAACGTAGGGAAAAGATAAGGTAGTAAGTAAAACAACAATTGACAAGAGGAATGCATTACGTCGATCAGGAATATTGTAGTCTTATTTAATAAGTTTTCTTTAATTTCAGCTACTTTGCTAAGCGGCAGGAGGTCAACCGCTGTATGGGTTTTGGCACGAAAGATGTTCCCGTAGTGGTTCATAGGTGTATGTAAAACTGCCACCACATATTCGTAAGGCTTCGAGGTATTCGAGATGAAAATAAATTCCGATGGCACTCTATGTTGGTAAGAAATATGAAGCTGTTACAGTAGAGGTCACGAAGCGGAGAGCCATGTCTTGTTGGTTGCTGTCTTTGATTTCGAGTCCGAATAGGATGACACGTGTGTAGTTCCACGGCCCTCCACCGCGCAGGTAACTTGCGGTATCTTCTAGAAACACAAAAGAGCAAACTTGTTGTAGGAACATCCTCTTCAGAACGGCGACTTAGTTTAACATCCCAGACGATTGGCTTCTATCAATGTCGTTCCGTCTGTTTTGATGTACTATTATAAAAAGCCGAATCGTAGTAGGGTTGCTTTTCCATTGACTTCGTTGCTAAGTCCTGTTGAAGGATTGTGAGAGAGAGGCAAAAAAAAGGGCAGACAATATGTTTTGCTTTTTACTTTTCAGAAAAGTTACAGGCACACATATATGTTGTATGTGCCTTTTTTCAAAGGAAAAATATATTTCCTTGTATTATCGGATCTCGGATTCTTTTGGCGTTGATTCAGTGTTTCGGTTCGTGTAGTGCCATTTTTTCTTAAAATATCGATAGTATCGAGATATTTTGTTCGTCAAGGGTTTTCTTCTTGAGGTTGATTAAACTGGGTTTCTTTACATCGATTCACCTTCTCAGGGCTGTCTAGTACTTTTTCTTTTTTCATTACGTCTAGGAATGTTCCGTTTTTTTTCTTCGGTTGCAAAAAAATGTGCTGAAGATGTAGTGGTGGTGGCTGTGGCAGCATCGAAGTGCAACAGTAGGTCTATGGCTCTCTCACGTACCTCGTGTTCTTTGAAACCACGTCAATCATCTGGTAGTCAGGAGAGCGTGGGTAAAACTTCGAGCAAAATTAAAAGCTCCCGCGCTCGTCAAGGGCTAAAAACGAAGACCAATAAGCCTGTCTCTAGAGGTACTAGTGCTCAAAGGAATAGTGGGATCAGGAAAGGTGCCTCCACGGCCTATCAATCTGAAAAGCCTGAGGAAGAGTCGAATCAGAAGCTCGAAACCGCACCGAAAGAAGAGGTCGCAAGCCACAAGAATGAAGATGATGACATAAATAACGATGATACCACTGATTCGTTACGTCCAGCGTACATGTCCGAAGAACTCGAGAAGAAGGTCCTGAGTATGGCAGAGCGGATGCAGGTACGCGATATTAGCGGTGAGGTTCCTGTTGCATCGTTTGCCTATGAGATACTAAAAACACACCCGTCGGTGCGCAAGATGGGCCTACGTGAGCGCATGCATTTTCTATGCAGGCGATGGGAAGCACTCAGTGAAAAAGAGCGGCTATCATATTTAAACCATCCATTGAAAGGTTTGCTTTGAAATTGATCGAACTTTCACACAAATGCCAATGACACGCTCCAGCCGTGAACGTAATACATTCTGTTATTATTATGGCTATACTCGTTCTTCAGATAACACAGACATATCTTACTCTACTTTTACAAGTCTGATATGAATTCAACGACTAAGGGGAAGATCATGCAAGCGTTTTCGTTCTGTTAGTATTTTCCCATGTTCATCGGTGACGGACAATTATTCCACCTTTGAGTTGTCCACTTACCTTTATTTGTTTGACTGGAGATGATGTAGGCCTTTTTTCAGTTCAGGGAATATTTTCACTTATGTGATACTCGGTCTTGAATTTGTGAGGTAAACTATTACACAATTTACAGACGTTTTCGGATCTTACCAAAGGGTTTGCTGACACCAATGAAGGAAGCGATATCTCTATAGAGTTTATCGTCCCATCTATTAGATAGAATGCAAATGAAAAGTAACTGTTTTAAGTCGAGATTTTCACCTAGGGATAATGTTTCATAACTGTTGCGGTACTTATTAAAAATATAACACCCTTCGTCCGCATATATGTGATGCATGTCGCACTTTTATTATACTAGCATGATAAATGATTACATATATGTATAAGTTTGTGTTACCTGGCGCTCGGGTTATTTTTTTCCTGCCCGAATTATTGAGGCTTATTGTTCCCTTTATTTTCACACTTTATTCCGTTTATGATTAGAGCTGATTCGTGTCGAATGCGACATTTTGCGCGCTTAGTAGTACCCGCGCGTGTTGCGTACCGGCCTCTCCCCTGCCACCATCTTATTCGCTTCATTCATGAACGGCCATTCCCACACGTTGTGCAACCAGAGTTGGCTAGCGAAGAGTCCTACGAGATCGCGCGGGATGCCTTACTACAATTAAATATCATGATTCGCCGTGGGATTGAGCCAGATGCGTTGATGTATACGTCCCTTATTAATATCATGGGCCGTGCTGGGCTTGAATGGCAGGCATATAAGCTATTTTCACGTATGATAGAGTCGAATGTCCATCCGCTACCTGAGACCTATGTGGCGCTGCGGGATGCAACGGCAAAACATCGGGCACGTCTTCGTGACGAAATTCAAGCAAAAATTGAGCAATCGATGGAGACGTTTCCGGAGTACTTGTCGGAGGTTGAACTTGCACGGCAGCGTGATGAAGATCGCAAATGTATCGCAAGGTTCGAGGAGTATATGCAAGGGAAGCTGCCGACATCCGTGCCTCCGTCGCTTGGCAGTGTCGAATCGACGCCGTCCCCGGCCACGGAACTTCACGCCTCCGCTACTTCATCAGCAACCACATCACCCTCTTCGCCTGCAAAGATTGTATCAACGATGCACATACGCAATCCGACCGATGCCTGGGCCACTTCGGATATGGCGGAAAAAATTCGTAATCAACCACATCAGTTGGCTAAAGGGCTTCAGGCTGAAAGTCTTCGAGTGGCTTTGCTCAAGTTAGACGACGAGGAGCTCCGCATCTACCTTGCCACACAGCGGCAGCTGCGGCATGGAAGCAAGCAGCAACTCGTGGATCGCATTTTGGAGAACGTAAGCGAGAACGCCATTTCTGCCATGCTAGGGCGTCGCGCTCATTACTTTCGATCGGTGGAGAAGCTCCTTGCGGCGGACCTTTGCGAATTAAAAGGCACTGCGGAGGACAAAACCAACGCCAATCAGCATAACAGACAACATGAAGCCTACTTCGAGGCGGATCGCACTTTACGGAAAGAGGAACAGGCATCTGCCGCCCCTGAAATCCTCCTAACTCCGTGGGGACTCATTCGTAAGCCTTTAAAGGTTCAATATCGCGAGGATTCTATCAGTTCTCCAAGTTTCAATAACAGCGAGCGGCTGGAGCGCATTCGTCTTCTGGAGTCCGAGTTGATGCTTTTGTGGCGAAAGTCACAGAGCCAAGAGCTTGATGAGATTCCGGAAAGTCTCCTGCGGCGGTATGCTTATCAATTTCAACTCCGCTGGCGTCGACGAGTCCCGCTTTCCCTTATCCGAGCCGTTGAGTGGCACGCTAGAATGTTCCTGCCCACCATCCTCGCAGAGAGGGGGGGAACTCCTGGGGATGCTGATTCTTCAGGTGGAAGTCGTCTTTCCACACTGCACCCATTACCAACTCCGCCCGCGCGCCTCCGGGAACAGCAAGAGGCTGATGGAATGCGGCAGACACTAGAGAATTTTGAGGCATTTCGCATTATTTCACAGCGCACCAACAATCTGCAGGTGGTAGACGATAAGGAGATTAACTTACATATAAAGCGTATCCGACGTGACATCATGCGAAAGGAGCGAAAAGATGACGATCATTTGCGGCGGGAGGGGCATATCTTGTCAATGGCAAGCTTGGCGTCTTCCGCGCGTGAGTTCACCCCCATGGACCCTCCCGAGGAAGAGAACCTCTGTTCTATTATCGGACTTCAAGAACCAGACGCCGTTGACGACACCATGAGGCTTCCCATTGACAAGGCCCCCAGTTCCCCAGAAAAGGCACCCCCAGAGCAAACGAGGATCCACAGTCCACGTTCTGATCGAGGCGCTGAGGGGACCGTCAGCGGCTCCACGAATACCAAACGTACTGAGGTAGGGACGGTTGTGGGGGGAGGCCACGACGAGCTCCCCCCATGGGCGCTCTTCTCTGAGGGGGAGGAGTATAACTTATCTACTGGCCACTTTGGCGACCCCGTGATGGGTCGCTACCAGGAGTTAAGTAACTCCAAATTCCGATTGCTGCCGTCTCGACTAGCCGAGAAGAAGTGGTCAGTTGATCGGCACTTGCTACCGGATCAACTCAGGGATGTCGTGGATTCCGAAGAACTAAAGCAGACTGAGCGCCTTGAATCGGTGGAGAAGGAGTACTGTCGCCGACTTGAGTATAAACGGTATCGAAAATGGGATAACTTATTAAGAAAGGCCCAGGCCAAGGCCAAGGCCAAGGGGGCGGCCACCATAGCAAGTGAGGGAAAGGGCTCAGTTAAGCCTCTCCCTGCCCAAAAGCGCTTAGCGCAGCTTCTGAGAAACGGGCACGACAGGGCAAAGGTCTCCGAGAGCCTACGTGAACGCTTTAATCGTAGTCTTTAACATAGGCGTAAAAACGGAAAGAACAAGTTGAGAAGGTGTAGGTGACATTTGTTCCCACACATAGGGCGGACTATTGGTAAATGATGTGTTTGAATTCAGCACGGATGTATTTACACGTGAATTGTCTTTACAGACTGATTGTACGGTGTTATACAGGTTTCTGGCTGATAATCTTGTGGGGAAGGGAAGAGTATATATGTAATTATGATATAATGTGAAGTGTGCTGAGTTTTTTTCTAAGTACTAATCAAAATAAAATTCCTTCTGCTTCTTTTTAAAACACACAAAATCAGGATATAGGTGGCAAATTGTGGTCTTTATAGACGCTTCAGTGGTGCTGGTAGTCTTCTGCTTGATCTTGTAGTGTTTTCCTGGCGTCCCGTATGCCAAGAGTAGCCTCTGCTGCGCCGCGTGCGGCTCAACCTCCGGGCTCAGATTGGAAGGATTCGTATTTTAATTTAGATGTGCGCTACCAACAACTCCGGAAGTTATTAAACGCAAAAGAAGAGGAGCTTAAACTACTCAAAGTAGCTCAGCGCAAGTCCAAGGCATTACTTACTAGTAACACCAGGAAACAGATGAATTCTTCAGGTCCGGAAAATTCGCGAGCACCCACCACTTCCTCCCCGGAGGAGCCCTCAAAGACAGAGGCTATTAGAAATGGAAGAACTGAAACACGTATAGAGGAGGAAGACGTGCTGGTGCCCTCCGTCAATTTTCCCAAGCCGAGCAGCACAGCTTTCGTAGCCGATTTGGATCCTATTTTAGGTCCCGCCGCTAAGCTACCTGATCCTGCGATGATTTGGGGTTCCGAGAGCAACGCCAACAACTATGTCATTGCGAGTGCTCTTTACCACGCTAACGAGGAGCTTCAGAGTAAGCTCAACGAGTCCTCCACTATGATTCAGGTGCTTCAACGTGAACTATCTAGTTCTCGTTCGCTATGTACAAACCTGCAAGCCCGAATCGAGGATCTTGCACAACAGATACATCAACTTATTCGTGAGCGCGATTTAGCTACCCAGAAGCTGTCGACATCACAGCAGAGCGTCACGAACCTTCAACGTACTCTGCAGAATCATATCGGGGAGGAACAGAAGCTTCGGTTTTCTCTTGAGAACCAGATCGCGGATCTGCGTAGTCGTGTGATTGTCGGTGCGGATACGAATGATCACCTCACCAAGGACGTTCGCTCGCTGCTTTCCGACTCGAAGGCGAAGGACCAGCAGGTCATGGGTCTACAGTCAAAGTTGGCGCTTGCGGAGTCCGCGCTGTCTTCACAGCGCAACACGAATGAAAACCTTTTGCTAGAATTGAGGGGTCTTAATCAGCAGCTCGTTGGGGAGCGCAAGCGGGTCTTAGTTGCTGTCAGAGAGTTGGAGCTGGCGCAACTCAGCAAAGATCAAATAGCTAATCTAGAGACTCAGCTTCGACAGCTGAAAGAGGAGCGTGCCAACATCGAGCGCGAACATGCAAAACTCTTATCTGAGTACGCCAACTCCACTCAGGAAGCCCTCCGCCTTGCGCGCCAGGAGGTGCAGGCGGACCTGGCGGACTCACGTCGCGTCGCCCAGCACTGGGAATGCCTCTCACAGCTGCTCTACAAGGATGTTGTGGAGCGCACTCAGAATCACCAGCGGTGCCGCGCGGAATGTGAGGAAGCCAAGGCGCAACGCGATACGCTGAGTGTGAAGTTACGCCAGGCCAACGAGGAGCTCAAGCTATGCCACGCGAAGCTTGCCGTTGTATGGCCTAACCATGGCGCAGACGCGGATGGCCTGTCGGCGGAGGAAGTCCTCGACACATTTAAGACGCGTGCACCCTCCGCCATGGTGCGACCTGGTGGTGAGGCGGGGCTGGCAACGCCATTTTCTCCATTTCCCACAGCAGCCGCGCCTCAACCACGTGATCAAACCACATCTTGGTTGGAGAAGGAGCTGCCTATTGATCGGACGACGACCGCGGACCGCATTCACGAGCTTCATGAGGCCAACGCTCTGCTGGTCGCTGAGGTTGAGCAGCTGCGGCTGGCGAACGAAATGCACTTAGCGCGCATCGAGGCGATCACCGGTCGACACGACAAAGAAAAGCAACACATGGCAGACGCGAAGAAGGAGATGGAGTCGCGTGAGGCGGCCGGCAGGGCCTTGCTAACGCGGCAGCTCGATCGGGTGCAGTTTCTTGAATCCCAGGTCCGCTCGTTGCGTGGTTACCACGTCAGCCCCAGTACGACGATGGAGAGCATTCCCGCTTCGGAGACGGTGCTGGAACTGTTCCTAGGCCAGCTGGTGGCAGTGGGGGTGCCGGAGGGGGTCCCTGTACCGGAGGACTTCTCACAGGTTTTTTGTTCGGTTGATTTTCTTCTGCACGAGACCGTCACTACCCCCACAGTACGTGGCTTTAATGGGTTCTTCGACACCACGATATCTTTCCGCATTGCAATGGATGCTCTCCTGCTGTACTACTTACAGACTCGCCAGCTTCTGGTGCAGCTGCATCGCATTCGCAGTGATGATGAGGTATCATCGATGTTGAATGCCCACGGTGCCGAAGAGCAGCGGGATCGGGGCGGGAAAGGGTATGAAGTGGATGACCCCCGTAGTTCGATTGCGCGTAGCGACCATGATGGGTTAAAGATGGTTGAGCGTCTGTTTGAGACCGTGGCGGAGGGCTGCGTGAGCCTAGTAGAGCTGGTAACGCGAGAGGAAAGTTTGCACGCAGCCAGACCATCGTTGAAGGGCCACATCAAGTTGCTCCGTTCCGATACTAAGCACGTGGCATCTGTGGAGTTCTTTTTGACAGCGCGCACGCCCTTTTCGGAAAGCTTCAAGGAGCTTGTGACGGGGACACTCCCCACTGCTGGAGAATCAGCGCACTTGCAAACCCCGGCAGCTTCCAACAGACAACTCAGTTCTCCTGGGGCCACTCCTTCGGGATCTCTGCCTGCCATGGGTCACTTTACGCGGCTACACGATTCAATCACGGACGACTCCTCCGTTTTATCTCGGCGTGGAGGTGAGGACAGGCCGATTCGGCCTTCGCACCACGGAGGGTTGATGCAACTTATCCTTGCCAGTACACGGACGAATGCCACACTGACAGGATCACTCCTGTCGTCATACTATTCGAGTGCCACCGCCGAACGCTCGAGTATTTCTTCCACGGATCGCAGTTATCGCCCACGTGAGCAATCCGCACACAATCGAGGGCACGAGGACGAGATGATTCGACTGCGTCCTCCTCGATCCTCCTCCGTTGCGGGGGTGAAATCGAATTTTTCCTTACCTCGGGCAGGCAGCGTGGTTCCGGGTGCGGAGTATTCCGGTGAGGTCGGTGGCTTTGCGCACATTTCCCGAAGCTTCCTGACTTCCTCGCCCTCGATGGATCGTCAGGCCCCGGCCCCAGAGCATCAGATCCACGCCATCGCCGTCGACGTCGTTCGGGTTGAGTTGCCGACGGATTTGTCCCCCCCTCTCCCGCGGCTGTCGTGCCTTTACACGGTCCCTGGGCTCACGCGCGAGGTTCGTCTTCGCGCGCCCGCTCGCGCGCAGTACACCATTGAGTACCCCCACCCGGCCGGACGCCCGTTCGGGGAGGTCTTCGCGATCGACTCCCTCGCCCAGCTCGCCCGCCTGGCGCGGGAGCCGCTGACGTTTTTCTTCGCAGATGAGGACGCCGGAGTAAACGGAGGCAAAGGGAGAGGTGGGGAAGAGGAGGGAGGAGGGGGGGTCTGGGCGATGGCGCTCTGCGAGTGCGCAGGGGCGATGGGAGATCCCGGGCGGCCGTGGGAGGTTGCGTTGCCGCTGTGGCGAACCGCCGGTGGGGGGGTGCGGACGGCCCTCCGGGAGGGCGTCGTGCGGGTGCGGATCACCGCCTTCACGGAGGGGGGGACGGCGGGGCTGCCCCCCCCTCCCGAGAGCCCTCTTAAGAGGGAGGAGGGGAGGTCGGATCCACCACAGCCTCCGGGATCGCCCCCCGCCACGGCGTTGACTGCTCGTGATGGGGATGGGAGCGAAGGGCGTGTGGAGGCAGGAGCAGGGGGCCGAACCCCTTCCCCGGGTCTTCAACCCCCCCCGACCCTCACAGACCTGCGAGGCGCATGGAATCTTCAATCGGAACGCCAACAGGTTTCTGCATTCCCCGGTCCTGCCTCTTCTGGTGTTCTCCGAAGGGGTGCTCGAGGAGATGCGGGCGTGGGTGGCTCGCCTTCGCTTGAAGAGGAATTAATGAGGCTGGAGTATGAGAAGCACATTAATAAGGGCTAGACTACAGGGATGATGGGGATCGGCACTCTGTTAGAATTTAGAGAAATGAGTCAGAAGGGGAGGGGGGGAGGGAGAGAGTTCATTCTACGCAACTTTGATGGATTCTAGAATGTTTTCGAAGTAAATCCACCTCACTTCGTTTGACTACAATTAGAGAAGAGATGCATTGCATTTATAGACGTAAGAAATGAGTCATAGAGCCGATCTATTGTAGTATTACTCACACACACACATATATATATATATATATGAATGCGTGGGGGACCTAAGGAGCGGTATACTTTTGTGTCTTTTCTGATGTGAAAGTATAGGAATGTGGGTTTACACGCAGCTGTGTACGTCCGGTGTTACTTTGTCCTTAGGGATTTTAAGTATATTGATCAAAATGCCACCTCACACAACACATTTAATCCATCATATATGACGATTAGACGATTTATGCTTGCATATCTATATCTATATATGCTTCTGCCCACATCTCTCTCACGATTTCATGTGTTGACTCTCTTTCCCTCGTTGAGTAGTTCTTTTTACGTATAATAGTATTTATCAATGAAGCCTCTCCGCATCATTCGGTCTCCCATGTCTGATGGGAGCTTTCCTTCCATTCAAAGTGCAGTGTCCCAAACCCCTATGACGAAGGAGACAGCAAGAACTTCCATATCCCTTGACACTTCTGCAGTGTACACTTCATTACCCACCACATCGGTGGCATCAATTCCTCCACCGGCCTTAATATACCTGCCACAGGCCTCGGATTCCAATTCCTCAACTGTAGTGAAGCTGACAGGGAAGCCGAACTCCTCGAGCTCTACACGTTCGCGTACTGGCACCGAGCCTTCCAAGCAGGGGTTTACAGTTTCGGAGACCGCCGCCCCATTGAATGGAAATGTAGAATCAGAGCTAGACAACCTACCCGTTGAGGCGTGCTTAGAGTATCTCATGCGACCCCATACCTCATGGGAGAGCGCCGTCTCCAGTCTGCGGCGCCGCCGGGAGCGTGTGGAGAAGCACAAGGCTTCCATTATGTCTCGTTCTTTGGCTTCGACCCGCAGCAACTTCTTCGCGAGAACGTTATCGTCGTCGATGGAGTCAAGCATTTCAAGCAGCAGTGCGCTATCTGTGGCGACCGCGCCTGCTGGCTTCCCAAGAACGTCCAAAAATGGAAGTAAAACATGCACCGGTACCCTTCGGCGTGGGCGGCTGTTCACTACGCCCTCAAGCTCAGAACCCCCCTCCGAGAAGCATGCTAGCACCTCAAAGGGTACCGCGTCATGCCGACCTTTTGCAATGCGACTAGGTCAGAAACCACCATCATCTACCATTGTTGCCCGATCCTCACAGGACGCCCTATCATTGATGGTGGGGGGAAGTCGCATTGAGGGACTTCGCGATTCGAAGCGTCTGGGGGCTCCTAAATGATTTAACATCCCAAGCGAGGGTGGGAGTCGATGGCATCCGCGAGGAGAATATAAAAGAAGCGGTATCGCTGTCTCCTGACTCCCTTGTTACCAGTTTTCAGAAATCATTGCCGAATGATGCTGTTCACTGCCGTGGTGCTGATGACGGTGTTATCCTTCGCTTCTGGAGATGTACATTTATTGCTGAGTTTATTTTTTTCTCCTTTCACATACTTTTTGTATTGCATTGATATAGCTATCAATTACTCTCTAGATGGTAATAGTGCGTGCGTGTATTGCGGTATACTCAATACCGTCACCACGTTACTCTTTTTTTCAATTTATGTGCTTAAGTTGACTAAGCGGGGGACCACCTATGACTGTCATTAACTATATTTCAACATCATGATAGCTTGGAATGTCTTTGCATATATTTTTTTCTTGAATTTATTACTACGGTTCTTATTCTTGGTGTATTGTTGTGATTCGTAAGTGGGACTTAAAGTGTGTGAATTAGAGGATATATACACACTAGATTTTTTCCCTTTTCTCTTGACACGTTAAGCGTTGCGTGTCGAATATATTACTGATCGAGTTGCTGATATTTATTACGTTGTGTGTTTGGCCGGTGATATCCTTGATTTTCCAGCTATTGGCATCTACTTGTTTTCAGTTTGCACAGACGCACGCCAATGATGACCTCTGGCGTTTCTCCGGAATCAATGGAGCTTCTGCAGCGCTATGGCGTTGATGTTAGGGACTTTACCAGGGCTGAAAAATACTTCAATTCCGAGGATATGCTGAATGCACTGAAGACTCGAGGGGATATGCAAATCCAAGGAGAAACTGGGGAGGATCTTGCTGAGTCCATAAAAACGACTCATATGCGGCTGGAGGAAGCCTGGAGTGAGTACGTGGCTTCTGTTCGCCAGTATTTTAACCGTATCTCCCGCGATATCGCACGAGAACTAACTGGTAACGAATTGGAAGACGAAGCAGGCCCCCTCAGCTACTGTGATTTGAACAAGAATACTCCGGATGTGTCTTCTGTAGCTGAGCACGCCAACAGTGGACTTGATGCCGAGATTATTAATGGTAAAGACATATACTTATCGGGAGTTGAGAAAGCTATGGATTCGAAGGGATCCCAGGAGGGGTTGCAGCAAAGTATTGCAAGATCTCCCTCCCCATTTCATTCACCGGATAGGGGGGCCGCCAACCCCGTCAATGCACCTCCCCTCCCCTCTTCTTCCTCATCGTATGCACCCCTGGTGGGTATGCCTCGGGCTGAACGAATGAATGATTTTTGTGTTCTAGCTGAAAAATTCTACTTCCGACATGAGAAGTACTTTGACTTGCCATTGCCATTGGTGTGGGCACGGATCGTTGCATCTGCGGTGGCTTCTGTGAGCCGACTGTACCGTTTGCTGGGGATGCGAATCGCGTACCTTTGTTCAGGGAGTACATACTTTATCCGTCGAATCGTTGAGGACTGTGAGGTGTCACATTGGATTGGTCTGTATGGGGACCGAGAGATCTCCGCGGAGGTGGGTGCGCTGCTTAATTTAATGGAACGCATGATATCCCTTCGAGAGGAGCGGCGTGGGGGGTACCCGAATATACCGTTTGGCTGGCTATACCGCCTGGAGGCTCTAATCAACCCGCAGAACCCTATTCTGAATCTTCCGCCGAAGCATAAGAGACAGGCCATTCGGATCGCCATCCGACTGCTGAAAGTTTCTCCAGGCGAGGCGACCGCGGTGCAGCTGCACAACGCGCTCCTCCGGAACTGCCTCACCAAAGGCGAGGCCACCGCTGAGGAGTCTGCCGCGGTGGTGAAGGTCTTGCTCAACCTTTTAGATGATCCCGCGACGCAGAAGTATCTTCGCCTCAACGAGATTGGGGTGCTATTTACCCCTTTTTTCGAGACCTCCACGGCGGGGAGTAGCCCCGACACGCTGGCCAGGTTGAACCTCTCCAAGGACATGATAGCGCTCTTCATGACGACCTGGGTGGGGGTTTTCTGGATCATGTTCGAAACGACGTTCATTCGCACGCTGATAGACGTCCTGCACCTACCGAGTGATCTGGATCGCAAAATGGTGATCTTCACCTTGTTCAACAAGGTGCTTGTGAGCCTGGCGCCGCACCGCGGGATCGCAAAGATCGAGCCGTGGACGGGGATTGAAGGGGGCCATCGGCGCCGTGTAGGGGGAACCTCGGCGTCAGCCAGCACCTGCGTGGATGGGGAGGTGAGCTCGCCCGGGAGGGACTTCCTGACCTGCCTGGGCGCCGATAACTCGCTGAGCACGGTGGTGATGAACGAGTCCGATGGTAACGAGAATTACGTGCCGACGCGGAAGGCGCTGGGTTACCACATCATGGACCCCCTTCTTGGGACCGTTCTTATCGGGCTCAACCACCACGGCCTCCCACTCGCGCTGATTAACGTGCTGCAGACGGTCGGGAAGAGCCACCTGGAGGTCGGGATGGCGTCGCAGCTGCTACAGGACCTCTGCGTGCTCATGGATACGGTGCTCCCGCAGGAGACCTCGGGTGGTCTGCACGAAGCCTTTAACCGCGCGCTTGGCCGATTAACCCGTAATGGGGATCCATTCGTCAGCAACCTCACCTCTCGTCTCTTTCACGGCAGCAAAAACCGTGGTGGGGGCGGGAGGTCGGAGGGGAGTGGCTGGGTCACCGTTAGCAGCCCTCTATCCCGCGCCACACAGCCGGCGGTGCCGATCGCAATGATCGCCTCGTCTGATATGGATGATGCCACTTTTCTGAACACGCTGCGGGATACTCGGGTGGAGCGGAACCCCTTGGACTTCCGGGTCTGGAACTTCGACCTACTGTTGCTGTTTGTGCAGGGCCCACTGCGGACCGTTAGTCGCCTACATATGGCGACGCCCGTTCTAAAAATTCTCATCGGCTTCTACACGCCCAACGACGGGAAAAAGTTTTTTTTCGTGCGCCCCTTTTCCTCCCTGAGTGCTGAGGAGGCTAGTGTGCCGATGTGTCTTTTGGGAATTGAACTCGTGAGCCTGTTGCTCTCTACCCGCGATGGGGCCGATTTGCTGGAGAAATCAGGGATGCCTACGGCAGTGGCAAGCATGCTCCAGGAGGTGCGTACGGGCAACCCGCAGATCCTCACGAAGGAGCGGGTGAATTCGCACGTCGGGCACGCGCTTCTGCGCATGGTGGGGTGCTTCTCAGCCTATGCAAACGGCCTCCTCCTCATGCAGGAGCACAACTTTTTTTTTATCATTGATAGCTTGTTTCGTAGGCTTCAGGACTCTCGGTTCAACGACTCAGGGGCGACAGATACCCTTGAGGATGTGTGCCATCAGCTTCTGCAATATCTTTACATTGGCGTGGTCCCGAACTACGGGGTCTGCGATGATATCCGTTACACCATCCGAGGGGCATTAAGGAACCCCTCCGAATCTATTCGTCTGTGCGCGACGAAGCTTCTCAAAACGGTGGTTTGGCATGACCTGTCGACATCGATGAAGTGGGGGATTGAGATGCTGTTGCAGGTGCTGCATGATGATTCTGTGAAAATCGTGAAGAGCGCATTCGGGCAACTACTCAGCATCTGCATGTTCTCGGATGAGGGCTTGGACTATTTAATCTCGCTCTTTCCCACCGTTCTCATGGAAAGCGAGCTTATTCTTGAGAACGCGAAGACATTAAAACTGGATTCGCTTTTGTACCGTATCGTAGAAAGGCCCTCAGGGTTTTCCTTTTTGCAATCCTACGGATGGATCGAGAAGGAGCTGCGACGCTGGGAGAGCACCGCGTCGGTTGAGTATGTGAAGATGATGAATCTGCAAATCATGGGTGAGTTTAACGTCACGGCGAACTACAACTCCACCCGACCTGTCAAACGATGGCTGCACTCCCGCTCCATCTCCGAGAGCCTGACTATGGATTACTCCAAACTGTCGATTGCGTCGCCCGTTTCCGGCGGCATCCCATTGTTGACGGCGGAGAACGCGAGTGAGATGTTTTTTCCGGTTCACTTCGCGGCCTTCCTCTGCCGCTCCGTGGAGGGGTGCATGGTGTTCAAGCGCAGTACCTTGTGGATCCGCTCGGTAGCGCGGATCCTAGAACAACCCCTCCCACCCGATATCGTCAGCGACCATTACATTATCCAGGATAACGATATCTCGGAGGATAGCGATGAGGATATGATCTTGGAAAGCATGGCGATATCCCATTTGCAGGACACCCCGGAGTACTCCACCGTGCGGCAGTACTCCTCGCAGTCCTTCTCGGCCTTCCCGCACGCGGCGATGAATCGGGGTGGGGACTCCGGCGCGGCCTCCCCGGCCGCCGTCTCCACCGCGGAGCTCCGCGAGCTGCTCCAGGGCCGCCTTCCCAACCACAACGTGGTGCTCTCCGCCGTGCACAGCCACCAGCCCACGACGCGGTGCTACTCCACCGAGTGCGTCGGCGACGCGCTCTCGCTGAAGGACGCGCTGATGTGCGTCTGCCAGGCCGGCTCCAGCGACGCGGGGTATGAACTCCTCCGCGCGACGCCGACCCTGCTGCGGCGGATCCTTTCGCTCTCCCGCTTCAGCGCGACGATGTCGATCCGGGGGATTGGGATCATCGGGGGGTGCGTGCTGAGCCGCTGCCGGCGCTTCGCGGAGGACCTCGCGCGGGATAACATCGTGGTTTTCTTCAACCCGAACGCCTACATCAGCGCAGATGGCGTCCCTTATTCCGTCGCCTTTGCCCACGGGAAGGTGGTGCGGAGCATCATGAAGAAGTACGCCGCCACGGATACGATCGTCGAGCACATCTACAACGACGGCAAGTCCCCTGACACCACCGGCGTCCCCAAACGGATCTACGAGAACGTCTTCGCGCTGTCGAACCCGGTGAGCCGGGAGGGCGCCAAGACGGTGTTGTATAAGATGATGCGGCGCCGCCCGGAGCTCTTTTTGGAGCCTAGCGTGCAGCGACTTTGCCTTGATGCGGCCGCCATGTATCGGATGCGCCATGCGGAGCGAAAATTCATCGCGGATTTGGTCGAAAACGCTCAGTTGACAACCCCGCGAGGCCGGAGGGAGGGGTAAGGGCGCCGCCTCATGCGGGGGAAACGCGAAGAGAGCCTTTGCTCATTGGTGATCGGAAAAACAAGGGTGGACAAAAACGCATGCTTCATAGTATGTTTTTGTTTTCTATGGTGGCTGAGGGGCTATATTGCGTCCGCTATTTCTTTTTATTTTCTTAATTCTTCATCGTTATATTTTCGCTTCATTCTGTGGGTCTGAAGCATAGCAAGTAGCTCATATGCCTTTGTGTGGGCTAATATCTGCCCAACCTATTCCCCTTTGCAGGTCAATGAGACTTGGGGGTGGATTACTCCAAGAAAGGGCATAGTACGACCGGGATTGTACTTCAGTGTCTCTTTCCCGGTCTGTTTTTTCGTATTTCTCTTTCTTGTCCCTCAAAAAAAGAAAAAAGTAAGAATGGTTGAATTTACGATTCTTCGGTGTTGCTCACCAGCGGACCATGGCTGAGGCTACCAAAATAATATACACCTCGAGATGCCATCGACCCTGTCGGTGTGGTGATGGGATCTTTTCTGACAGATCACTTTCTTTCTCTTCGACTGGAGTCTTAGTATTTAACCCCCCCCCAATACAAACTATTAGATAGCTTAGGTGAATGGAGCGTGACCGAGATCGCCCCCAGCAGGCGCGCGATCGCAGTGGGAGCAGCAGGAGCAGTTCGAGTGATGGGGCCGCCTCCTCGGTGGGATCGAACCATCCTCCCCCTTCCTCTCATTCGCATTCTCATTCCTCCTCTCCTTCCGGCAGCGATGCAGAAGGCGAGGATCACCCTTCTCCCCCACCCCCATCCCCACCTTCCGCTTCACGCCCCTCCCCCCCTGCGAAACACCACCGCCGGGAGGGGCTCTTTCTCGACGATAGCGAGCAGTTCACCTTCGACTTCGGCGCCCCCACGACGGCCCCCCTTGAGGGGGAGGGGGAGGAGGGAAGGGAAGCGGAGGGGGTGGCGCCTTTGCGCGTGGGGGGATCCCCG